ACGCGCCGCGTTCAGGAACCTGTCACCCCGCGTCGGCCCCGTCCTCGTCCGCCGACCTGCGACGGCCGCGCACGGCGCGCCATGGTCCGACGTCTCATTTCCAGGATCACACTATCAGGCTATCTAGTCGCTGACGTCGAATAATCGGACCATGCGCCTCACGCCTCAGCACCCGCCACGCTCTTGCCGCTCGCGACATCGTCCCGTCCATACCGCACGTGCCCGCGCCCGCATCCACCAACTGTCGACTTCTCACACCGTAAGCACGGCGTCAACCAAAGCAACCTCGACTCACAAACAAACTCACCATTGCAGTGCTTCAGCATGCTCCAACTTCGGCCAGCGTACCTGCAATATACATAACGGTCAGTGGACACAGCGGGTGCAGGTGTCATAAGCAGACACCACCTGAACCATCAATACAGCGGCAGATGCGTGACCAGGCGATGACGGCCCCCGGCCCTCCTTATATCCCTCCCGCGACTCCTTTCCTGCATTGCAAACCCACGCACGGACCCTCCCTTCTCCGCGTCATGGCACCCGGTCCCGCCGCGTACGTATCGCAGCCGTTCGCGTAGCATCCTGTAACACCCTAGCAACGCGCATCTCTACCGGGGCGCTCTCGCCGCGGCACCGTCCACCGCCGAAAACAACATGCATCCCTGTACGGAGAATCCACCAATGACAGGATGTGCACGCACGCCTATGTCCGCGTCCGTGTCCACGCCCTATTCTGCGTTTCGTGTGCGCGGCGCGGGCAGTTGTCTGCCTGGCAACCCACCCGCCGGGCAGCGCGCGGGCTGGCGCCGCTCCCGGGGGATCTTCAAGTCAATGGGCAGAACGAGACTCGTGCGTCCGCTAACAAGACATCATGCCGGCGCGTCGTCAGTGCGCGATCACCACCGCAAGCGTCAGCAGACAATCCCGCCCCCTGGCCCGGTCACCACACGTCCTGGTGTCCACATACGGCCCTGTCGTGAGCGAGGCTACGGCATGACACGGCCTGCTCGGCGGGACACGCACTCTGCATATTGCGCCGTCTGTGCCGTCTGCAGTGGGGCGAGCTTACAAGCTCGCCGCGCGCATCTTTCTTGGGGCGCTTGCCAGGGCTTCTCGTGCGCCGCGACGGCATCTTCCCTACCCGCGCACACCAGAGGCGTATCTCAGCACAGAGAACCCGCCGACGGCTAAATGCGCGTGTTTCGCACGCGCGTCGCGGACAGTCCGCCCTGGCAACCCATTCGCAGGCCCGCCGTCGCTCCCGGGAGGAAAAGACTCACTTGGTTCCCAGCACGGCATCCACGCGTCCTGCCACTGGACATCGTAATTGCGTGCTGCCCGCACGCGCAATGACCGCGGGCGCGGGCACCGCCTGTCGGAATGTCCACGCACAGCGAGGGGTGCAACAAGAGTGCTCTTGTACACGCATCCCCGGTCGTGAGCGGAACTACGGCACGGCGCGATGTGTACGGCAGAACACGCGCATTTTGCACGTCGCGCGGGTTGTATGATCTGCCTGTTGGGGGAAGTGCAGTGCGAGGCTTGCAAGCTTGCCCTTGCCCTTGCCCTCTATGATACCGGCACGCAGCCTCTGCGAAGAGCACGCGCAAGATAGAAATATCCTGTGTGAATGGGGATATGCAGGCGCATGAGCAAGACGGCACGGTAGCTATCGGCAACGCGGGCCCGTGTGTGGGTGTGCGGTGCGCGAGACGCAGGCAGTGTTCCGCTTGACCTATGCTCTGTCAAGGCGAAGGATCAACAAATGACGAGAGGCAGCAGCAAGCCGCGGACGTGAGTTTGGGCAGAGCCCGGTCAGTACGCCTCATGTGGAGAAGATGAACACGGCATATGCACCGTGTGAGGGATAGGACATTCGCGCATGTTCTGCTGACCATTGAAGAATGGGCGAAACAGGATGCGCGCGGACACACAGACTGGCCTGCCATTCCAGTGAGAACGTGACCGCAAATATGTGATGGCCATGTACAATGCATCCAGGGCTGCCGGGTACAAATAATATATTTCATTTGCCAGCAATATCTTCAGGTAGTACATGCGGTCAGCAGGAATCCTGCGATGTCCACCGTGGAAGACGGTGTATTAGCAGCCAGTCATGCGTGACCAACTCCACACTCTAGGCACTGTTTTACCAGTGTTGAGTACGCAGATTCACGGATTGCCCTGACCGACGGTCTCGCATCCACTGCCGTGTTGCTATGCTGCTAATTGCCCGGAGCTAGGCCTAGATGTAAGTGGTCATTCGGCCTGACGCGGACAGATGCACTCACCGGCATGGGGATCTTCCTGACATCGCAAAGGCCATCCGAGTTTGTAAATTAGCTGTCTGATGGCCATATGATTTCCGACAATCCAGACCTTTGCAGATAATCACGGGATTGATCTGATGTCGGCATCAGACATATCAAATTACGTACTTGGAGATAACAGATGCAACACATCAGGAGTTCCGCATCTGGCCGAGTTCCGGTACAGGTCATATATATATATCTTGTTTGAGGAGAATTCTCCGTTACTCCCCTTATGATCCTATTCATCATTCTGCTCTATTGCCATGTTCTTCATTTCTGTTCGTGATTCTGCTCCTAACCCGGTCGACATTGGTGTTTGCAGCCTCCGAGTGAGTGGACATGTGACTAATACTACCTCATGTTCAGTCACTGACTGGGCCTTACCAGCTTGTTTATCATCAGTCAGTCTCATGCGATTGCGAGTGGAACAACAAAGGTCAGAGGACGAGGGAGACAAGGTAAGCATGCTGATCGGAAAGTATGATCGATCAGTGCTGACCTCAATTAGGGAACTATAATAGCAGGATCATTTGGTCATCCCTCCGAGTTCGACGCTCGAGGTGGGCATTGGTGGGCAGGTCTGCAAGCTGCCCCTTTGTCCCCAAGCACATCTCGCTCATTGACAGCTCACCAGGTGCGTCATCATACCTGCCGAGTGCGTGCACACAGATCCGTGGATGCTGACCTGCTTGCACCCCAGATCTTCAGGTGCATTATCTGTGCTCCTCGTGCAGCCGGAAGAGGCCCCAGCGTCGAGCCGAATGAGCATTTTTCCTCGCAGTGAGTGCCTCGCCTCTTCATCTGCTTCGTTTTTGTCCATGTGATGTTGCGCGACACTTGCGACACCCTCCTCGACACCCCTGTCGTTCGTTTTCTGTCTCCTCCGCTCTGCCCATTTCACCTTGTGTTTGTGCTTTGTTTTTCTGTTTGTTTTGTTTTTTGTGGTCTTTGCCTGTGGCAATTGTCTTTTCGGTCCTTCTGCTTTGTGTCCTTACTGCCAATCATTTTATTTTCTGGTTAGGTCTGTAGCATAGTCTGTATTATTGCTGGGATGTCCCTACACATCTCGCTACTCCCATTGCATGCATTTCTCCCACGCGAGCTGCCTATTCATGAGCGAACCACACAGCGGAAGCCCACCCACCCAGGCGGCTCCTCTTGCTCCGTGTCCCATCCTGGCTGACGCCAGGGGTTCCTCTTCCAGACAGCTCTCGAGCGCACCTTACACGGGCATCTTTTTCAGCACCTTCCTACGTCGACCCAATCAGCGTGGGTTGTCGTTAGCGCACGGGGTCTCCCGGCTTTCAGGTGCGCTGTGTGTGCTTCTGCTGATAATTGTCGTGCACTGTGAGCTGACCTGGCCCGGTCAGTATCACTAGCCATTGCGGCACCCCACCACAGCGCCTGATCAGTACAGGGCGCTGTCCCCGGAGGTGACCGTCTCTAGACGTGTGCGGGGCATTTCCAGCTGACCGGGCCCGGGCAGCGTGGATCGTCGTCAGCGCGTTGGGTCGTCCGACATTCAGGTGCGTCCTGTGTGCTCCCGCTGATGAACGCTGTGTGTTGCCAGCTGACCGGGCCCAGTCAATGTCGCTGGCCGTCGCAGCGCCCCATTACAGCGCTCGGTATGCGTATGGCGCGTAAGCGGCGGGTTGTTTCGTCATCGCCGGCGGTGGCCGTCTCTTGCCGCGCCGTAGAGTGCTTACAGCTGACCGGGTGTAGCGAGGGTTGGGCATCGTCAGCACGCAGGCGAGGCAGATGGACGACATGCTTGCGCGCGGGCGGAATGTTGACTTGATGTCCCGGTTGCTGTGTCAGTCTGTCCGGGAGACACAGGAGCAAACCGCGGACTGCAAAGCGGTGGTCGAAGACGGTTCCGCAGACGTGCTGTCCAGCGGGAGATGGTGGAGAAGTGAGCGGGAGATGGCGGCGGAGGCTTGGACGATGGGCGCGGCAGGCGCAACACACAGAGCGCAGGATGTTGAGGAGCTCTGGAATGAGAGCAGGACGTGTGTTAGTAACGAGACCGTCGTAGACTATGCAATATATTTACCTGTGATGACTTTGCATCTGTCTCGCTGTGCTGCCTTGCCCTCTACTCTCCTCTATTCCCCTGGACTTGCACTGCTCTCCTCTATTCCCTTGAACTTGCGCTGCTCTCCTCTATTCCCTTGGACTTGCGCTGCTCTCCTTTATTCCCTTGGACTTGCGCTGCTCTCCTTTATTCCCTTGGACTTGCGCTGCTCTCCTTTATTCCCTTGGACTTGCGCTATCTCTCGATTTTCGAACGGTCACTTTTTCCACGCCATGATCGCCTTCCCCGCGCGGCTCTCGTTCCGCCGCCCCAGCCGCCCCGAGATCCACGCCCCGATCTCCGCAAGCGCGTCCAGGTCGCCCGCCGCGCTGTACCGCCGCGCGCCGCCCGCGCCCCCGCCGTGCCCGCGCAGCGCATACAGCACGTCCTCCGTCGCGACGTTCCCCGTCGCGCCCGGCGAGTACGGGCACCCGCCCAGCCCGCCGACGCTCGCGTCGAACGTGCGCAGCCCCAGCTCCAGCGCCGCAAACATGTTCGCCACCCCCGCGCCGTACGTGTCGTGGAAGTGGCCCTGCGCACGCGAGTGAGCGCGTCAGCAGGACGGAACCAACGAGCATGCGCACCGCGAGCTGCGCCGGCCCCACGCCCTGCGCGCCGCCCATCACCGTCTCGAGCAGCGCGCGGATGTCCGCGGGCGTCCCCGCCCCGACCGTGTCGCCCAGGCTGACCTCGTAGCAGCCCATGTCGAGCAGCGCGCGCGCGACGTCCCGCACCTCCTCGGCGCGCACGCGGCCCGTGTACGGGCACACAACGACCACGCTCACGTACCTGCGCGCGGGATCAGCGAGCCTGCAGCGCGTGCGGACGGCGGACGTACCCTCGCACGCGCAGGCCCGACGCGCGCGCGCGTGCTGCGACGGGCGCCAGCCGCGCGAGCGACTCGGCGACCGTGCAGTTTGTGTTCGCCTGGCAGAACGCGTCCGTCGCGGCCGTGAAGAGCGCGATCTCGTCCGTCAGCGGCGGCGCGGGCGGCAGCGGGGGCGCGGCGTGCTGCGGTCTGCTGACTGGCGGGTTCTCGGTGCTGAGCAGCGCGAGCAGGGCGTCGAGGCCCTTCATGTTCGGCACGAGGACGGGGTAGTGCACGCCTTGGAGGTGCTCCATCTGCCGGAGGACCTCGTCGGTGCCTTCCATCTGCGAACCCCGAGTGAGTAGGTTCCTGCCGGGTCAGAGGTAGAGCGCGACACGGGCATACTACCCGAGTCTATGGAGTACCGGAGACCACCCCATCATGCGTGCATAACGGGTCTACTGGAGAGCCTTCCGAGAATCCTCATGTGCAGTCAAACCTGACGCAGATCAAGGATGGGGATGACGGTCCCGGCCTGACAGGGCCTAGCATTGCTGCAACTACATTTGGACAAACTGAGGCAAACATGGGTAGGACCCTTTGTCCGGAGCGTAACCTAGTCTCGTGTCCTGACGTGCGTAAGGCATGGAATGTTTGGGCTGAGCAGGTATGGATAGGTCTGCCTCACGTTTGTATTGGCTGCGAGCATCGGGATATGTCCTAAGGATGACAGCAAGCAGAACATAGCTGCTTTGGGGATGCGCACCACAGCAGACACGGATGCTGCGCGACGCCGATTCGCGACCCCCGGGCGGCACACGTCCAGGTGTCATCTCACACTCGAAGCTCACCAGACGTAATAGCGGTGTTGTGCGCATCCAACATTTTGGGCAAAACACCACTGGCAACTAGCCTCGGGTTTTGGGCACGCCGCGACTCATGATAACTGGCCAGTCGAAGCGACACTCGCCGCTCACCTGCGGAACCCACTTTGGACTGACGAAGCTTCCTGCTTCGATCATCTTCATGCCCGCCCTGCCCAGGCGCGTGATGAGTTCGGCCTTGAGTGCGGGCGGTATGACGGCGTTTTCGTTCTGGAGCCCGTCTCGCGGGCCGACCTCGACGATGTTGACATAGTTGGGGTCAGACGCGGTAGCATACGTGCGCGGGGATATGGCGCCGCGGCGCAGGCGAGGGCAGAGGACGCGTGCAGCAGTGCGATGCGAAAACATGGTGGCCAGTGCGAGGCCATCGCTGCCGAGGACGGGGAGGCGGCTGCGTCAGTGCACGTGACGGTGCGAGGACGTGTGCGCGCCGAGCGTGCGTCGCGCCGTCCACGCCACGCCATGTCGACCCGCGCTCACGCTCAGCCGCCTCCACGGCAAGACTGCCTCGCATGCCGCGTCATCGGCACCACCGCTCTGGGCGCGGTGGGGGTGTACGCTCTGCACCAGTCTCGCGCACACCAGCCCGGCTCCCCTCTCGGAAAGCGCATCATGGCCGTCGTCGGCCTCGGTCTGTCCCCTTTCCCCTTCATCCCAAGCACTTCGTCGCCTGACCTCCCCTCAGGATTCCTTGTCGCTAGCGGCATGCGCTGGGCAAGAAGCCCGTAGTCGCTTACGTGAACATGACCATCGTCCCTACCATGCGACTGCCCAGTGTGCTCCCACCTAATGCGCGGGTCGGCATACTTACAACCCCCCTTCGTCCACCAGGCCGTCTACAATACCTAGACTTAGCCACGATGTATCATTTCTTATAGGAAGACGTGCACGTCTCGCAACTGGCAGCCGGTCACATCAGTGTGGGTCCATGTGGGTCCAATCACACTCCATGGGAATCCGTACGACTCTGGTTGATGTTCATTGTCCGACTGCTGACACCATGTCGGCCTTCGCCGTAGTCCACCTGATCCACCACGCTCATTGACATTGTATCTAGAGGAATACGACGCACTCACAGCACAGCAGGCCTTTCTCTCGCCTCCCCCACCCACTGTGCCAATGTGTTTTCTTTCAGTAGGTTTGCTCTTTTCACGTAGCACCTGGCAGACGCAGTTCTCACCGTGAGACTCCGCAGGTCTCCACGGGCACTATACTCTTATCAAATCCTTGAACTGATAGCGCAGCGCAGAAAGGATGTGTACCATGTGTCTCGCTCGCGGGCGCACGGTATGAACGTGTGATCGGCTGTGCCACGAGCGTCAAATAAGGATGTCCGTAGCCCGCGCAGGTTGAAGGAATTGTCTACTCTGCTCACAGGAGACTACCACGAGCCACGATCATGGCTGAGCGCAGCCAGTTCCTCGAGCCTTCCCAGGTCGAAAAGAGCAGCCACCCAGTGTCTCCACGAATGGTTCCCTCGCGCCCGTCTTTCTTCTCCAAGCATCTTCCCTCCACTGAATTGTCGCCTAGCGGCCTACGGAGGATGGCCATTGTAGAAGGGTCGTCGGCAGACGATGTCCGACGCTGGTCGAAAGGTTTGTAGTGACCGAGTAGGCTAGCTAAAGAATTGAAGACAACATTTGGCCGCAATGTCTGACTGTATGCGCGGTGAATCGACGAACAAAAACCCGTGAACGACAACGATGGCAACACCCGAACGAACAAGTTTCTGACCGACACACCGCCTCAAAAGAGAAAACACTTTCCTAATCGAGATGAAAGCCCTTTCCTGGGCACAGGCAGTCCGAGTCCACGGCCAGCTATGTCTCAGCTTCGCAAGAGTGTCGCCCCGAAGCGTCATGTTTACTTACGCTTCTCGCCGCCCTCGAGAGCGTGAATGACGCCGCGCTTTCCCTCGCCTCCAACGCCGTCCTCGCAAGCCCTAGGAAAGGATCCATCGATCGCGGAAGAGAGAGAAAGAACAAAACAATGAAAGATGAGACAGCGCGCCATCGTTCCTTGAGCCTTAGCGCATGCTCCTCCACCACACCGTGACGGCGCAGCTCCCCGCGCTCCCAGCCAGTAGAGTCTGCTGCCGCTGCGTCGCTTCCCAATACACTGCTGCCTCCCACCGCCCCGCCTGTCATTGATCCTCTTGGCGGGGCGAAGGAGTCGGAGAGGGTGCGTGCGGCCGCGGGTGTGCCAGTCAGCAGCTCTTTCCTGCACTGCATCTGAGTCCTGGCTAATGCTAGAGACTGACGGGACGTCAATAGACTACGCGGGGACCTACGGCGGGCCATGGACCAGAGGCCCGTGTAGATTGATGGGTACCTACGAAGGACTACGTGACACCCCGTCTGCACAGCCTACAGCGTAGTACTGAGATCTCTGTAGGTTCTGCCCGCCTTCCAGATGTCCACTGTGTTTGGTCCATACACTGCATCCAGGCTGCCAACGTCCGCGATACCATTACAGTCGCAGCAAAGCGTACATCGTATGCGCACGGCAAACACGAACACGCTCATCCTACACAAACACGCAACACGACCGCTCACGCCGTCCCCTTCCGCCCCCGCGTCCTCGGCTGCACCGCCTGCTGGATCCGCCTCCCCATCGGGATCTTCGTCGGCCGCGGGGGCGACGGTGTCGGTGTCGGCGCCAGCGCCACCTTCGTATCCTTCTTTGCCTTCCCCGACACATTCTCCCGCCCCCGCGCCCCCGCCGTCAGAAACGCACACGTCGCCGCGTTCGTCGTGTCCACCAGCACCGGCCGCGAGATCGACAGCCGCCGCATCGCGCGCCGCAGCACCGGCAGCCGCGACCGCTCCGCGCTCCCCGGCGTCCCATACACCCCCCTGGTCTTCCCCGCGCCGGGCGGCGTCGCGGGCGGCGTGTTGCGCAAGACCCCGCCCGCGTCGCTGTGCATTATGATCACGAGCTCGTCGTCCGAGCCCGCGTCGCTGCGTGCGTGCGCCTCGCCAGTGTGTGCGTGCGCCTCGCCAGTGTGTGCGTGCGCCTCGCCAGTGTGTGCGTGCGCCGCGTCAGTGTGTGTGGCGTGGGTGAGAGCGCGCGCGGCAGTGTGCGCGGGCGGGTGTTCGTGTTGGCGTGCGCGCGGAGTCGGGCTGGCGGAGCGAGACGAGCACGCCGACGTCTGCGCCAGCGTACAGCCTGCCGACGCGCCCTCGGAGGACGCGGGCGAAGCGGCGCGCTCGCCAATGTAGCCCAGGCGCGCGATGGACGACGCGGCTGACGACGGCGCGGCGGGCGTCTGCAGCACGGAGACGACCTCGACGCGGCGGCGCGGCGAGCGGGCCGATGCGTCGCTCGCGCCCGAGGCGGACGCGCTGAGGCTCGACCTCGACCTGCTGAGGCTGAAGCTGGCGAGCGAGAGCGAGAGCGGGAGGGAGAGCGCGCGCGAGAGGGACGCGGAGAGCAGCGACGCCGTGCTCGCGCGCGGCGCGATGGCGTGCGCGGCGCGGAACGCCTCGCTCGCGAGCGGCGGGAGGTGCGCGTGCGCGGCGAGGGGTGCGCGCGCGGACGTGTCGGTGGCGGGGGGATAAAGGTCGAGTCCCGCGGGGTAGGGGTCGAGCCCCGCGGCGGCGAGGACGAGCGAGGACGCGAGGCTTGCCAGGGCAGACGGGTACGACGCGGGCGGCAGTTCGAGCGCGCGATCCACCAGGGCCTCCTCCGCCGGCGCGCCCCCCTCGACGAGGAACCCGCCCTCCGCGCGCCGCCTCTCGACCAACGCGTCCACCGCGCGCTGCCGCGCTTCCGAGAGCACCTCCACGACCGACGACAGGTCCGACGCCGCCGGCGTGACCGTCTCCGCACATCGCCCGTCCTCGCGCGCGCGCGCCTTCCAGAACCCCGCACGCCGCCGCCACGCCCGCGCCTCGCGCCGCGCGCCCAGCGTGCACCGCACTTGCGCCGCATACTCCTCAGGCGTGCGGGGGCCGGGCAGCGCACTCCCCGCGTCCACCAGCACCGCGTCGGGCTCCGCGCCCCCGCCTCCGGGCGCGTGCGCGGCGAGCAGCTCGATAAAGCGCCGCAGACGCAGGCGCTCCGCGGTGAGCGCCGCGTTCTCCGCGGCGAGCACGCGCGCGCGGTCGTCCGCGTCCGCGCCGGGGCGCGCGAGCGCGTGGTGCAGCTCGCGCTGCGTGCTGACGAGGTGCGTGCGCAGCGCGGCGGCGTCCGCGGCGAGCTGTTGCGCGGCCGCGCGCTCGTGCTGGAGCGCGCGCTCGAGCGCGGGGATGCGGCGGTTCGCCTTGTACTGCAGCGCGAGGGCGGCCTCGAGCTCGCGGATGCGCTGCGCGAGCTCGGGGAGCATGGTGGGCGCGGCGGCGGGCGCGGCGGACGGGAGGGGAAGTGTGGCGGAGGCGGGCACGGCGGCGAGGAGCTGGGTAAAGATGTCTGCGGGGTGGGCGGATGCGAGGACCAGCTCGTCGAGGCCATTAGCAGACGCGGGCCGGCCCGCGAGTGTGGGGGGCGGCGCGGACATTGTGGGCAGCACGCTGTCCGACGCGGCACGGCGGTGGAAGAGGTGGGAGAGCGTGGGGAAGCGCATCGCAGCGGGCCTCGGTGTGGCGGCGAGCAGAATCTCTGGTGCTGGTGCGAGTACCCTGTGCCGCGAGCTTAATAGACGACCTGCGGCTGACCATGGCGAGAGGCTGACCGGCGATCGAGACTCTGTCAGCTCAGATTTGGATTGCGACCAACCTCGGGATGCAACGATCAACGCAATATCAAAGATGATTTGGGATATATAAGCTGCGGTGAAGTGGAAGGATAGCATGCGAAGGTATTGGCGCAATGCAACGCTGTCGTCAGCACAGCGCGGACGTCAGCAGCGGGCATCTCAAGACAGAAAATCCTACCTCATAGTGTTAGATTTGCCGAGCAGGATGGAACCGCAGCGGTATGCAAGGGCTTCTTGAGGAAAGACCCAGAGCTGGCCGACCTGTCCGGGGTGTACCAGATGGCTGATGCCGCCCCTACCCAGGAAACCAGACGCAAAAGCGTGGTACCGCCCGTCCAGAATCGAAGTACGCTTGCCACTCCAGACATCGAACGGCTGAATAGAGGCATAGCTGCTAACAAGATGCACTGTCGAAGCTTGGATCAGCTACAATCGTTGTTCAGTTCGTGGGCTTCACCGAGGATCACAGCAGGGGATGGATTTGCTATCAGTGAATCACTGCTTAGAGTAACGACGCACTCAACGTGAATAGTCATTGGACCCCGCTCCCAAGGAAAGCGGGACCAAATTGTATTCATCTATCATGCCAGACAGGACAAATGTTCTGCGACCATAACAGTCACGCCTTTACAGAAAGTGCCATCAAGGACAGGAACCGCGCCGCGCCAGTCGTGATAGTAGGGACAAGCATCGTCACCAGCGAGAAAGGCATCCGACTCGTATCAATCACCCCCGCACGCATCGACCAGTTGAGGTACCATGGCACCGACATGTTCAGCCACACGAAAACCCACACATATCCAAGCGCGTGCACTAGGCCATCCGGGCACTGCGCCTGCATACCGGTCCGCTTCGCCAAGCCAACGACCGCGTCCTCGAGCGAGATCGCCGCTGCCTGGGCGATGAAGAACGGAAACGATGCGCCGAACAGCTTCGGGCTGACCCTGACACCGCAAAGCCGACATACAGCTGCGTGTACGACGACGCCCAGGAGCCCTGGCGCAGTCCCAGCAGGCGGCAGCACGCCTTGCCCATTGACGCAGTGTACTGTGCGCATCACATCATACGGCCATGGCTATCAGCGGATCGAAGAAGGCGAGCGTGCGAACGGCGTACGTACACGGCGTAGCAACTGATGGTAGGTGCGCCTGCGCAAAGACGTGTGTATGAGCGTCTCTAGCGTCCCGACCGCCCTAGACCAGTGGTGACTGAGAACTCACCCCCAGAACCGCCGCAGCGTGTATGCGTCGGCCCACTCTCCGTACGTGGCAGGCCAGTCCCTAGGAAATGACCAAGCCATGGCGACGGACAGCGCGGAGAGCAGACAATAGGGCATGGCGATCATCCCATACGCTGGGGCGAACCGCGCGACGATGTTGATACATCGCTGGATGTAACCTTGGGCGCTCAAGGAGAACAGGTCGGTGTCATGATGGGAGAACGATGGGTTGGAGCGCTGGTAGGTCTGTGCGAGGTCGACGAGCAGGTACCATCTGAATGCGCACAGCAACTGGTGGCGCACAAACGTCCAGCGTGGCTCGCATGGACGGGGAGGTATGTTTGCGACCTGGAGCGGAGCGAATTGGGTGGCGCGTGAGCGCTGGAGGGGTCAGAACAACGAGGTGCACACCTGATAATTCCATCCTACTCCGCGTGGGCCAGTGATGACGCATGATGCCCAATACATTCTGCGCAGGAACGGTAGTGCTGGAGGCGCAGTGTGGTCGCGCTCGTGGCGCAGGTCGTTCAAGGGATCCGCGAGCCACAGGAGATGAAATGCGGTGAAGAACTGCGATGCGAAGGAGCAGCCAAGAGAATAATTCTGCTGAAGATCCCCGGTGGTACTGGTGAGCACCAGTCCGAGACTGTAGGTGTATATTGCGAATGCCGCTAGCTTGATAGGCGCTTTCGGGCGGATGGCAATGAGTGCTGACAGGAATGCATTTTGCAGCAGGAGCACTGGGAGTACTGGCAGTCTGGGGCGATTGTCAACGCTCATGAGGACTCTGTCAAGGACTCGAGGATGATACAGACTCTAGCAAGGCAGGCTATTGCACGGGTTGATACGCCCCCAGGACGGAGCCAGGGCATTATATTTGTGCCCCCACACATGCGTAGACCCATTCCAGGTCCTCGTATCTCGTGAGAAGGCAACCGAGGTAGTCCGCGAGACGGAACAGGTTGAACTACACCGTGAAGTTTCCCGCCAGAGTCGGTCATTTCAAGACGGTGCCGATTATAATTTAGAAATGTCAGTACATTTAGGGTAGTTGGACTGATGATCTGATCGTGAGCGTTTGAAGTCATTGCATGTGCCACATAGCCACTCAGCTGGGACGACTTCGAGTGGCTCGACATCGCAAGATAGTAGATTAGGATGCCGAGGCAACAAGTGTGACTACCAAAGTCAGAGCCCTTCTATCATCGCATTGCGCTGCAAAGCCACAGCTCGGCCGTCTTCCGAGGAGTAGTCAATAGTCAATGGTGAGAGTCCGCCTCGAATGTCAGTGGCTCCATCTCCGAGACATTGGGATTGGAGAGCATGTATCTAGCAATCAGGAGTCGCTGTACGCGCCGCGTGGGCACGGCGGCGGCGCGGGCGGGTACAAAACCACGGACTCGTTCGCGCAATTATGCAGCCTGGTAGGCGATCTCTCTTGATCCTCGGAGGCATTCACATACCATTGCACGGGCACTGCACCAGGATATCCTTCGAGACGCACGTGTCACAATGAACGAGCTTAGATAGGAGCGAATTCCAGATCAGCTCTGACGCATACCCTGTCGGACTCCAGAAAACAACTCGTGGCGGTTACTAGTATGTGTACGAGGTTACGTTGAGATCAACATGTCTTGGATGCAGCAACATGGGGTCTCACACCTTGTACAGATTCGAGCGACAGCAGAAGACCGGCTCAAGCCGTAATCTGAATGAACTCATCCCTTGATCCTATGGAACGTGCGCTTTGTTGATGAGCATTCTGAAGACTGCAAGGTCCCAGCTGGGGGTTACCAGCATCCATACGCGTCCATTACGGCTTCAGTCCATAGGTCATCGTGTAGTCAATGGAAAACGGGTCAACGGAATCAAACCTGGTGGAAATGGCTCGCACAGCGTCGACGCCCACGATCGGTACCTTCGGCCTCGTCTGCAGGTCACAACTGTAATCAGGCATTCACTCACATATCATACAGTTGTATGCATCCTACATGCATACACACGGCAAACAATGTAACATGAGGTTCGCTAGAGCTCGATCTCCCGCACACCGTCCTTGTCCACTATTTTCACCTTATATTTTCCCGGGGAGACAACTAGTCGTTTCGACACCTCGTCAATGCATCGTCGAAGGGTGTCGAGTCCTTCCTCGAGGGTCGCCTCCGGGTCGTGATATCTAGCACACAGGACCGCGTCAGTCGTCATTGCATGAAAGGGCAAGCCGTACAGCGCACGCGGTGCGCAAACAATGCGAGACACTGCACGTTCACGTGAAAGCAGCTCACCTGTCGAGCAAACTGAGCCCGAAATAGCTTCCATAGCCGTGCGCACCAAATGGCACGGGCGAGAGGGTGCCGAGGTAGTCTACCCAATAGAGGTGTGGTGTGCTCGTGCTCGTGTCATATCCGCCAATGAGCAGGTTGACCGCATATGGCCTGCGAGAGCGAAGCGAGTCGGCTAGCGAGCGGCGGATCCACGAGGCAGCGGAGGGAGGGCGGAGAGCGTATGTGTTGCGGATCTGGTACAAGCGGATGTTCCGCTCGACATATTCAGCGAATTGCAGCGTGTCGCCTGCAGTCATACGACATGAAAGTCTTTCAGCGGCGGTACATGCAGAACGGAACGTGTGTGCGCACCTGGCTCGCCCGAAAACGCCATAAGGAGGTGCGGGCTGAGGACCTTGATCTTGTCCTCGTCCGTCTTCATCTTCACGATAGAACGCGCCGCGGTCGTGTCCGCTGCGACAATCACATAGCCCTTTCCCGTCAACGCAAACGAAATATCCATGGTATCTGACGGTGGATGTGAGGGAAATGAGAGTGAGCTTGAAGAACGTGCGCGCGCCGTCTACGCGTTCTCGCGGGACGCGTCATTCGGCAGTTCCCGACCAGTTATGGGCGTCTCGCTCACTCAGGCTTGCTCCTTTCACTCCCTCTATGCCGTCTGGGCGATATATGCGCTATTGTGTGCAGAAAAACTTACCTTTCTGCCGTGGCTATGCAAGGTTGGACATTACCCCGTCCAGCCATAGTCAAGTCAAATACGTGCAAAGTACCATATCCCAAACCGCGCTTCAGAGCTTTCTCTTCATCATTTCACCTTCGCCATCCCAGGAAGAGTCCTCTTGTCATTGTGGACACGCGAACATCCTCAATGTCTTGACTTCACCACCTACACCTACACAACGACGAAATCTTCGGCTAGTCAGCAACGGGACACATACATTGCATTGCGTCAGGATACTCATCTTTTTCGCGCTTTTGGCAGGCGGCGTGCACCGTTCCCACATCTCACATTGACGACGAGACGAGGTGCGTAGCAAGAGCCGGCCGTCACTTGCTACGCACACCGCCTCGTCGTCAGTGCTACACTACATCCATCCTGCTTCCCATATCGACCAGCTACGCTAGCATACGAAAATATTAGGGTGTGAAAGGGACAGTTGGAAACGCTCACCGTGGCGTCAGAATAATCATGGAACTGGGAGCAGATGAGTACATGCGACAATCTACCCTAGCATGACCCCTACTGCTCAAACTTCCCTGCTACAAACGCATCCCCCGTTTGTCCCGAAGTATCTTCTCGTCGGATCGTCTTCGCCTGGTCACAAAGATGTAAGTGGTCTGTTTAAACAATGTGAGCCATGACCAAGATGTGATCAAACGGAGACACATTCGCCCCCTTCGACGGTAGGTGGAATCACGGACCTACATCCTCTGCTCACAGCTACAGTGGAGGCTGACCAACGAGAAAATCAATCAGGACAGAACAGCGGGACACAGTCAAGAATGACTGATCTTTTTTCGTGAGTATCCCTGCTTCACTTCACCCCCTCCAGAGCCGACAAGAAGGTCTGCGCAAAAAGAGCCGGCCGTCCCTTAGTGCGCAAACCCCCTCGCCGCCGACACTCCCCACTCCCTTACAGCTACCTTTCCCGCGCTTGTGCGTCAACCATGGCCGCAAGATGACGTATTCCTGTGCAGATACAATTTCAGACAGGATAGGAATTACTGCGATATTACATAGCTCTTACCACGACTGCAGATTCACGCTACATGAAAAGAGGTAAGCGAACTGTGCGTGAAGACTTCGCTCTGGTCTATAAAGTCAGCCTGCCGAATATAAACGACCATCGCTTGAATGTTACGGGATCATGTGATTCTGGATGGTTGCGGTACGCTTGTCCTCATCGCTGTCCCCCGGATCCTGCACGGCTCTGATCACAGTGAGGTACATCACCACATTCAAATGGAAGCCGGAATGACTCACCTTGTGCCGTATCAGGAGTGCTCGACCACCGCCCTACATGTCTGGCTGTGCCCACCTCCAATCCTATACAGTCGTCAAATTGTAGGGTTGCATCGAGGTGAGTGATCTACCTCAATGGGTGAAGGGTATCAGCATCTCGTTGATACAGAGAATGTGCAAATATTAGAGGGTCTGGAGTCTGAATAAACGCTGAGTTCACCGGGGGTCATGGGGTCCCCTCGCTCAGACGTCTCGTCAGCCTCCGTCGCCCATACCTGATATCCTATCCGTCCAGGGAGCTTCGGTTCTTCTCTCGCGTGCGCACCGTCGATGTTGATATCCGATGTTGACCTAGATCCCATTGAAAATGAAGCACATCGTCAGAAAATTTTCAAAGAACCCAGACGAGAGTATTTTTCTTGATTTTGAGCATTTCTGGTTTTTATGGGCCTTTATATTTTTAGAGAGAGAGAGAGAGAGAGAGAAGAACTGAAGAAAGGTACGTGACGACGGGCAAGCCGCCTTCACGCCCTTGACCAGGGCGCGTCGGTTCGTCCCCAGAAGACAGCCCAGAGACCCCCCGAGGCCTAGAAACTCGAGGAATACTCCGGCGCCCCCAGGTCCCCTCGGCCGCCCGGCGGTCTGTTTTGAAAGGCATTGCTGCCCAGGCGCACAAAACGTTCACAGAAACATACGGTGCGTGAGCGCCTTGTCCTCGCGCGCGACGTCCAGCGGGATGAGCGTGCAGCCGACGGTGTACGCGCCGCATGCCCGCCAGCCGTGCTCGCCGACCTCCAGCGGCCCGGAGATGGTGCGTCCGCGGCGCTTCTGTGCGGCTTCAAGGGAGATCAGGTCGCAGCTGAGCTGGTAGCGGCCCATGGGTGCAGCGAGGTCGACCTTGTTTGTCAGGGTGGCCTCGTGCCCGCGGGGGATTTTCTTCCAACCGAGGCGCTGGCCGAGGGTCTTTGCGGACACCTTGACGGCTGCAGGAGCGCCACGACGGGCGATGATGGGGAGCGCGAAGGGACAGATGGTGGTCTGGGAGGCCATTGTATATAGCTCGCAGAACGACGGGGTAGGTGTGGAATGCAGTGCTATGTGGTGAGTGCGCGAAGCAAGTAGATGGAGGGGATATTTTGGCCAATGCTTGCCTCTTATGCGCAGCGGACGTTGCGTGCGAGACCAGACAATATCGGGCACGATTGCAAGGGTCTTCGGGGAGACCATACCATGCCGGGCAGAAATATAAGGATTGTAGAACGGACCACGATGCGCCAATATGATTGTTTCAAGAATGGTCTAGTCCAGACGTACACAAAAACATTTATCAATGCTGCTCGAGAACAATACCTGTACAAGTAATTGAAGAGCCCCGACCCACACACAAGCAGATTGATGCTGGACAGATCCGGGTCAACGCACTAGGTGTGTGACAACGTGATTAGCTGGATTGTGGTCTCACAAACAGAAATGAGTGCGCATGTAGACGCACCAGGAAGAACCTCTGACGGTCATATCTGAAACTCACGGACCCGCAATTTGAGGCAGAGGCGTAGCTCATAAGCTTCGCCTTTCATCAGCATAGATCTCATTCTCCGACAAACTTCTGCTGTCTTGCAACACCAACGTGTGTTGAACAGTAACCGATGTCTTTGAACGAAACATTCAATACGATTACGCAGGTTCCGGGCACCTCTGATTTTACTTGTGCACAGTGAGGACATCGATAGTACATTCACAAACCTTGTCCGGTATGTCCGTGTTGAGACGATTTCAAAAGCGCTTTTCCCGTTCACGTCTTAGTTTAGTAAGTAATTGCCTTCGGTGATACCTCATCCTCAAATCAGCGCTCCTGACCGCTCAGTGGCTCGTGACCTTCCCCTTGTATATTGTGCGCATAACACTCGCCTCGTTTGAAATGTGATACTGATGTTGTTATGATCCCTCATTTTGCGCACCAAGAATGGACGTGCCGTCATTGACTGTCTTGTGCCCTCAATCCCGAGGATTCGTTATGCGTTATATCGACTAAGCGGCTGCAATTGCAAATTGGCCAAGCGGCTTGGGCCGTGCATCATGACCGGTATCTCTTTGGGCCATATGCCTAGGAACGCGTCTGCAATACTGACCGCGGGGAACGCATTTCTGCGTGACGCAGTGTTCGTGAAAGCCACATGGACCGACGCCTCGATCAAACAAATAAGGGTCTCGCCAAGATAGGCAACTCCTTAGGTTTGTCCTCCGCAAGTCCCTGACAGTGGGAACATATCAGGCTCCTTCCCGCCGTCTTCGGGAGGTGAGGGGGACTTCACTCGAGGGCGGAATTCATGCTAAGTCCCAATAGCTTAGGGAAGATCATATCATAGATCCCATCACATATATCACGTGCACTATTCAAAATTTCAAACTCCACAATCTTAATCCCCCTCACCTCCCTGTGACGGCTGGCACAAAACATTGGTAAATAGCGGCGCTCGGAGCCGGACCTACTCCATATAGTATTAGATCACGGCCAAAAAGTAAAAGCATAGAACTAAATGATATGATATATGTTTCCGTCAAAATGGACATGCGGTTGCGTTGCCTAGAGTACAGAGTGGTAGCATGGGTGCGCGCGAACACTAGTGCTGCCTGCGATGTCTCTAAACAAGCCCTCCTTGCCGACTATTGATGCTATCCGGAAGAAGACGTTTGCGAAGCTGGGCCGCGACCCTTGCGAATGGCAGGCGAAGGTGGCGCGCGAGATCCTAAGGGCAGAAAAGGATGTTATATGTGTTGCACCAACGGGTGCGGGAAAAACACTCACGTTCTGGATGCCGTTATTGTTCCGAGAGGATGGAATACAGATCGTAGTGACGCCACTTAATATCCTCGGAACGCAGAGTGTAGCCGAGCTGGAGTTGGTAGGTATCAAGGCTGTATCTGTGTGCGCAGAGACAGCAACACCTCAATTGTTCAAGGTATGTTGTTAAACCAATAGTATATGGCTGACGTACCTCAACGGTGTGCCAGGATATCGAAGACGGGAAGTATCGCGCTATAGTTATCAATCCCGAATTGTTGATGAAGGAGGGCGGGGGCTTTGAACGTCTATGGAAGAACCAAGACTTTGCGTCTCGGATCATCAGTATTATCTGGGATGAAGCGCACTGTGTCAGTCTCTGGAGTGCGTTCG